GTATCTGTGTCATGATGTTTAATGTATATTGATGAAGGAGCACTTATTACTATTGAGAATCATTGTCATCCTTCTACTACCCCAGATTCATCCCGTTGGTGTCATCTTTGACTCATTTCTTTCACTCACTCCACACTTACAATCAGTTACTAAATCTTGTCATTTCATTTCTATCTTCATATATCTCAGATATATGCCCTTCACTCCATTGACATAGTCACCACTTTGGTATGGGCCCTCATCACCTCTCTCACCTATGTGATTTCCATGGCTTATTAATTGGTCTCTCTGTTAAAAGTCTCTCCTGACTCCAGTTTATCCTCCACGCAGCCACCTAAAGTGATTTTCCCAAAGTTCAGGTCTGACCAGGTAACCCCACCATTCCTCTCAATGAACTCTTGGAGTTCCTTCCTGAATCACTTCCTTGTTGTAGAGGAGGGACTTGTATAGTTCAATGAAACTACAAGCTATATTGTGCAGGGTTACCCAAGATGGACAGACCATAGTGGAGAGTTCTGATAAAAGGTGATCCACTGGAGAAGGAAGTGACAAACCAAGAAAACGGCCAAGAAAATTCTATGGACAGTATGAAAGTGACGAAAGAATTGACATTGGAAGATCAGTCCCTCGGGTCAGAAAGTGTTCAGCACATTATTGGGAGAGAGCAGAGGACAATTACAAGTAGCTCCAGAAAGAATGAAGTGCCTGGACCAAAGCCAAAGGGAAGTCTAGCCGCAGATGTGTCTAGTGACAAAAGGAAAGTTTAATTTTGTAAAGATCAATATTGCATAGGAACTTGGAATGTGAGATCTATGAACCCCTTAGAAGAAATGGAGCAGCCCTCATAGTCAACAAGAGTGAGACAAGCAATACTGGGATATAATCTCAAAATGGCAGACTGATATCTATTTGAATCTAAGGCAAACCACTCAACATTACAGTAATACAAGTTTATTCTCTAACCACTGATACTGATGAGGCGAAAGTTACGCAGTTCTATGAAGACCTATGACATCTTCTAGAAATAACATTAAAAAAAAAAGATGTTACATTCATGATAGGGGATTGGAATGCTAAAATAGGAAATCAAAAGACAATTGGAATAACAGGCAAGTTTGGCCTTAGAGTACAAAATGAAGCAAGGCAAAGACTAATAGAGTTTGTCAAGATAACTTGCTGATCATAGGAAACTTTCTTTTTCAACAACCCAAAAGGCAACTGTGTACATGGATATCACCAGATGGTCAATATCAAAATCAGATTGATTGTATACTTTGCAGTCAAAGGTGGGAAAGCTCTAGACAGTCAGTTAAAAGAAGACCTGGAGCTGACTATGGCTCAGATTATGAGTTTCTTATTTCAAAATTCAGACTTAAATTGACAAAAGTAAGGAAAATCATCAGACCATATTAAGTATGACCTAAATAATATCCCTTATGAATATGAAGTGGAAGTGATGAATACAGTTAGGGTATGTGATCTAGTAAATGGAGTGCCTGAAGAACTATGGACAGAGGTTTGCAATATTGTGCAGAAGACGGCAACAAAAAACATCCCAAAGAAAAAGAAGAGCAAGAAAACAAAATGGTTGTCTGATGGGTCTTTACAAATAGCTGAGGAAAGAAGGAAAGCAAAAGAAAAAGGAGAAAGGGAATGATATACCCAACTGAATGCCGAATTCCAGAGAAAAGTAAGGAGACATAAGGTTTTCTTAAATGAGCAATGCAAGGAAATATAAGAAAAGAACAGAATGGGAAAAACAAGAGCTTTCTTCAAGAAAATTAGAGATATCAAAGGAACATTTCATGCAAAAATGAGCATGATAACAGACAAAAATGGTAGTGACTTAAAAGTAGAAGAGATTAAGAAGAGGTGGCAAGAATATACGAAGAAGTATAAAGAAAAGATCTTAACATCACTGATAACCATGACAGTGTGATAATTTATCTAGAGCCATCCATTCTAAAGAATGAAGTCAAGTGGGTCTTCGGAAGCATTGCTAGCAATAAGGCTAGTGGAGGTGTCAGAATTCCAGCTGAGCTATTTAAAATCCCATAAGATGATACTATTAAAGTGCTGTACTCAATGTGCCAGCAAATTTGAAAAACTCAACAGTGGCCACTAGATTGGAAAAAATGAGTTTACATCCCAATCCTAAAGAAGGTCAATGCCAAGGAATATTCAAATTACTGCATAATTGTGGTCTTTTCACATGCCAGCAAGTTTTTGCTTAAGATTCTGCAAGCTATATGTAAACTCAGAATTACCAGAAGAGCAGGCTGATTTTCGAAGAGGAAGAGGAACTAGAGACCATATTGCCAATATTCTCTGGATTATGGAGAAAGCAAGGGAGTTTCAGAAAAAAAAAAAAAGAAAACAACAAAGCTGATACTTCTGCCTAATTGACCACTTAAAGCCTTTGACCCAAAGAGATGGGAGTACCAGATCATCTTACTTATCTCCTGAGCGACTTGTATGTGGGCCAAGAAGCAACAGTTAGAACCAAACAAGGAACAACTGATTGGTTTAAGATTGGGAGAGGATTATGACAAGGCTGTATATTGTCACCTTATTTATTTAATTTATATGCAGAGTATGTCATGGGAAATGCATGACTAGATGAATTAAAAGCTGGAATTTAGGTTTCTGGGAGAAATATCGACAGTCTCAGATATGCAGATGACACCACTCTGATGGCAGAAAGTGAAGAAGAATTAAGAAGCCTCTTGATGAGGGTGAAAGAAGAGTACAAGTGTAAAAGCTGGCTTGAAGCTTAACATGAAAACAAAAATAAGATCTTGGCAGCTGGTCCCATCACTTCTTGGCAAATAGAGGGAGAAGAGATAAAAGCAGCATCAGATTTTATATTTTGGCTAAAAGGTCACTGCAGATGGCAACTGCAACCATAAAATTAAAAGACGGTTGCTCCTTGGAAGGAAAGATATAGCAAATCTGGACAGCATATTAGAAAGCAGAGATATCACCTTGTCGACAGAAGTCCAGGTAGTCAAAGCTATGCCTTTCCCAGTAGCAATGAATGGCTGTGAGAGACATACTATAATGAATTGACAGTTTCAAATTCTGGTTGCTGGAGAAGACATTTGGACAGCAAAGAGATTAAATCAGTCAATACTTAAAGAAATAATTCAGATTACTTATTGGAAGGACAAATAAAGCTCAAATACTTTGACCACATAATGAGAAGGATGTACACATTGGAAAAGACCCTGATGCTGGGAAAGATTGAAGGCAAAAAGAGAAGGGAACAACAGAGGATGAGATGGATAGATAGTGTTATGAAAGCAACAAACATGAGCTTGGACAGACTTCAGAAGATAGTGGAGGATAGAAGGGCCTGGTACATGAAGTCACAAAGAATCAGACACGACTGAATGACTGAACAAGAATAAGTTCCCTATTACCTGTAGGATCAAGTATAACCTTCCCTATATGGCATTTAAAGTTTTCCACAATGTGGACCATATTTACCTTTCTATTATACTTTCACTCTATGTCTAATCCACATTACTCCCTGCCTCATTCTCAACAGTACAGACATATTGATCTACTTACTGCTCCTCACATGGGGTACTTCATCTCCCCTCTATGTGCCTTTACGGTGACTCTACCCCCATGCCTAGAATGCTTTCCCACCACCACTGTCTGCTGGAATTCCTGTGTGGTAGGAGCAATATCAGCAAGGACCCTTACTATATAAGCTAGACTAGCTTTTCATAAAAGCTAGGCTATTTTTCCTTTAAAGTAATTGAAACCATCCTTGGGACTTAATTGGCCTATTACATAGCTTCCTGGTGGCCTAATCACAAAAACCAGTATTCAGGGAGTCAAAAGCTTCTCCGTTAGGATTGACATTGACACACCACAATGGTGAACACAGAGGCAAGAAAGCAGTACCCAGATGAATGAATGAATGAATATTATATCCTTGATTCATTCATTCATTCAAGAAACATTTATTAAGCACCTGCTAGGTGCCTTGATGAATGTCCTTTTCATTATATAAACTTACTTTTGTTAACTGCTCTAAAGTCTGTTTTGTTTCATTTCAGTCCCAAACCTGAACACCAGACTGGTCTAAGTCAAGACTAACTGAGAACATTTTGATTTTCACAAGTCTCAATTCAGCTACCACCTTCCGTATGAAACTTTTCCTGGTCCTCCAGCTGCTGGTGCGTTCCTCTCTGAGATTACTTAGTGTTTGATTTGTATACCTTTATATAGATATGTTGTTTCCTTCATTAGATAATAAGCTCCTTGAGGTCAGGTAACTCTATATGCTTTTGTTTTTACATTTCCAGGGCTTAGCTCAGTGCCTGGTACATAGTAATTGCTAAATGAATGCTAATTGACTGATCATGTTCACTTTAGCCCAGGAGTGGAGACCAGGAGTCCCTGGTCTAGGCCCTTTTTCATCCTATTTCTATCATTCTCCCACCTACATGCCAGCCCAAAATTTAATCATCATGCTTTCTACATCTTCATCCAAGTCATTCATAAAAATGTTTAACAGAACAGGTTTAAGGACAGAATCCTATGGTACTCCTCTAGATACCTGTTTTGAGATTAACATCAGTGTATTAGTTAGCGCTCAGGGTACCATCATTCAACCAGTTCTTGAAATCCAGATCTTGTCCATTAGGAAATCACGAATTACTTTGTCAGATGATTTGTTGAAATCCAGGCATATGCTACATTTGTAGTGTTTCCCTGATTTACCAACATGTTAATTCTACCCAAAAAAGTAAATGAAGTGAGTCATGTGTATTTTGTTCCTATGGGACCCACGCTTGCTCTTTATAATCAATGCTTCCCTTTTAATATCTTCAGCTTTAATAATCTATTCTAGAGTTTTGATGAGGATCAACATCAAACATGCTGGCCTAGAATCTTTTTAAAAATGACCTTGTTCCTTTTTCTGGAAACAGGGAGAACATCTTAGCATGGCCCAGCCATGAGCAATTTATATCTCTCCAATATCCTTTCAATTGTAATTGTACCTTTAATTTGTGTTGGTGGTCTTAGGTTTCCATCACTCAATATCAGCAAATAACCAGGAGAAATAAAAATAGTACAAAACTAATAAAACATAGAAAGCACAGCAGCAGTTTCTAATTTCCATTTTTTTCTCTTTGAAGCATGTGGCATGCTTGCATGCTTTGAGAATGTGCTTTAAAATGAAAAAGTGAATCAGTCATAATTCTATTTAAATGAGAAAACAGCTTTTTTTTTTTTGGAAGGAAGAAGATGGCAAGATCCAGCTTTTGGAACATTGGCTTGCTTAGTAGTTTAAATTGGCATTATGTTGTCAGAACACATCCCTGAATCGTTACATTTTTTTCTGCCTACCTTATCTGGGTTTATAGAATATAAGCTTAAGCTTGTGTCTTTTCTGAAAATAAATATAAACATGTCTTGATATGAAAATTTTAGGCTAAAAAATTTTAGAACAAACCTTAAAAGCTAATTAATTTCTCTTTGGAATATGCTGATTTCTCCATAATATTTGGCATTTCTCTAGCATGCTCAATTCATGGTAGAAGCCTATGATGGATATGTGTAATAGTAACTTCCTTGCCTTTAACGTTCATTTTTATAAATATGTCTGGCTCCTGAAAGTACTAACTGCAAAGTTATAGATTGTTGGTGCTGGAAGAGACCTTAGAAGATTATAAGTCAATTCCTTCATTTTACAGACTGGGAAACTGAGGCCCAAGTAAGTTAAGTAGATTGCTCAGAAATTATGTGGACTTGTGCTTCCTTGCCCTTTAGCACAGGCATGCCAAAGAGAATAGGGAAGAACTCAAAACGTATTGCCAAAGATATAGCTGTTGTTAGCCTTGTGATAAAGAGTCATCATTGTCCAGCATCTTGGAGTTGTCTGTGTCTCAGACTTCAAGCATCTTGCAACATGGTCCAATGCATGAGACCTGCCCAGAGATATATAAAGCTTGAGAACACAGACACATGAGGGAAGATGTCCTGAAAAAAATGATTCCCCAGAACTTCTGTATTCTGCCACTAGGTTTCATCTATTTCTCTTTTTCTTCCTTTCACAGTGCTCAGCTCCATAGACACAGTATAAAGGTCAGAATACTAGCCCAGAATTTTAGGTTTCCCCTAGTTTTATATGGTGTTTCAGGCTTATAAAAGTTGGTAGGGACCATCTAATCCTACCCATACTCTAAAGAAAACCAAAGTATAACATAGTGAAGACTCCCAAGATGGGGAAACCCTTCACCAACCCACCAGTGGAAGGCAGCACATTCTACTTTTGGACAACTCTTTTTGTAACAGAAAATGGTACATGTGCAGAATGCATTATGTGCTTAGCTGATGCAATCTCCCTGTGTAGGAGCCCTTTATAACTTAGCACCACTTCCTACCTTTACAAGCTTCTTTTACCTTTTCCCTCACCATGCACTCTTTGATCCCATGACACTGGCTTCCTGGCTGTCCCCATCTCCAGTTCCAGTCATTTTCTCTGTCTCCCATGCCTGGAATGCTCTCCTTCCTCATTATCTACTGGCTTCCCTCACCTCCTTCAAGTCCCAGTGAAAATCCCATCCTCTACAGGAGGCCTTTCCCATCCCCTCTTACTTCTAGCACCTTCCTCCCTTTAATAGTTTCCAATTCATCCTATGTATAGCTTATTTGTACATTTTTGTTTGCTCGTCTCCCCCATTAGATTATGAACTGTTTGAGGGAAGGGAACATCCTTTGCCTTTCTTTGTATCCTTAATCACTCAGCTCAATGCCAAGCACATAGTAGGTGCTTAATAAATTGCTTACCAAGCGAGGCTCAACAGGCTACTTCATGGAAAGTTATGATGACATGGAATGGAAGTACCTTGTAGAGACTGGAGCAAGAATAGACATTCTGTAAGTAGGTCAGGGCTGCTAACCACATAAAAGTTAGGAGAAGCCTTTTTTCTATTATCTATATAGCTAGAACTGGAGATGTCTTTAAAAGGTTTATCTTAGCTTCCGTCTAGTTTCTTTGCTTCATTCTCTTTTACTTTTCGCTGGTGGTTTGATGCAAGTGAAGAGGCCCTCTGACTTATAGATGTTGGGCTCTTGTTTAGAATTCCTGTTTGTTTTCTCACGTGGGCTCACCAGTCCTGTAGCCAGTAAATAATCGCAGACATTGGTGAGCTGAATGCCGAGGATGCCTGTTGCAAGAAAGGGTTAATTCAAAAGTCATGATTACCATCCCTCTTCCCCCCACCCATGCATTATATATGCTTTATGCTTTGAAAAATTAGCCTTTATTATAATTCATGTGACTTGATTAATCTCCAAATAAACCCAAGTATCTACTTCTTGTGGAGAGTAGGATTTTCTGGCATTAAAAGTATATGTGTGTGTATATATATATATATATATATGTATGTATATATGTGTGTGTGTGTGTGTATATATATATATATATACACACACATATATATATATACACACACACAAATATATGTATATACACAAATATAAATACAAATTAAACACAAATATCTACTTGTGGAGAGTAGGATTTTCTGGCATTAAAGCACATATATATTTTAATATGTTTGATGTAATACATATACATATATCTATATCTATATCTATATATATAGATATAGATATATGTATGTTTTAATGCCAGAAAATCCTACTCTCCACGAGTGGATATTTGTGTTCGTTTTCTGATTACTCAAGTAATATGCGTTATAGCAAAAGCTCATTTTTCAAAGTATAAATATACATGTAGATTTATGTATATATGTACACATGTATATATACACGTGTACATATATACATATGTGTGTGCATATATGTATGTTTCTATATGCACATTTGCATGTATACATTCATATGGGTGTGTATATATGTATATATGTAGGTATGCATATACATTCCTATATGCATATATGCAGCTAGGTGACTCATGGATAGAGTGCCAGGTCTGGAGTCAGGAATGCCTGAGTTCAAATCCAGCCTTACTGACCAGCTGTGTGACCCTGGGTAAGTCATTTAACCCTGTTTGTCTTTGTTTCCTCATCTGTAAAATGAGCTGGAGAAGGAAATGACAAACCACTCTAATATCTATCTATCTATCCATCTATCTGTGTATATACATACATATATATATGTATATATGTGTGTGTGTATATATATATATATATAAAACTGTCCCCCATCCCTGTGCGATGCCCTGGACACATGCTGACCTAGCCTGACTGTAATTTCAGTTCTGAATCCCTTGGAAGGCAGAATTTGGTACTCTACTCTCTCCTTCCCATTCTCTGATACTAGCACAGAGCTGGAAATCTGAAGAGGGATTGGGAAACTTGTAGCCTAAAGAAATCATTTGGTCCATGGGTCTTAGCAATAAAGTGACTCAGATTTAGCTTTTTCATTTATTTAGTGGGGAGGTGATTTCACTAAAGCTTGAGAGGGTCCTTCTTACTTCCCAAACATCTGCCTTTAATTTGATTTTTTTTTAAATTTCGCTGAAGGCAAGATGAAGTGTTCTCCAGCTTCTACTTTATATAAACTAGATTTTATGGTTTGGAAGTAATGAATGGGCAGGCAGGGCCTTGAAGGTCTGATGCTGTCAATTTTCCCCAGCAGCTGTAGTTTGTGGGAAGTCATTTACTCCTCGAGCAGTCCATTATTAACATAATGGTTGACATTTATGGAGGCTTGAAGGTTCACAAAGCTTATTTATTACATTATCTTCTTTGATTCTCTCCAGGTTAAGACTTTTTTTTTTTACAACTTTGAGTGAGAGCAGGAGTTTTCTGATAGACAAAGTGAATGAAGGCTTGCCCTTTTTTGAAGCAAAGCAAAACTTTGAAAATCTGCGTTTAAGTAAGTGAAAAACGGCAAGGGTTGTGTGATTATTTACTTCTATTGTTGTTCAGTTGTGTTTGACTCTTCGTGATCCCATTTGGGGTTTTCTTGGCAAAAGACACTGAAGTGGTTTTGTCATTTCCTTTTCTAGCTCATTTTATGGATGAGGAAACTGAGGCAAACTGGATTGTGACTTGTTTAGGGTCACACAGCTAGGGACGTATCTGAGGCTAGATTTGAAATCAAGTCTTTCTGACCCCAGTTCTATCCATACACATCTAGTTGCCCTAATTATTTACTTAGTGACCTCAGAGATTATCTACTCATTTTACAATTGAGGAAACTGAGGCCTAAGAAGGCCGAGTCATTGATCCAAGTTACTGAAGTAGGCAGAGGTCTGAGACAGGATTTGAATTCACGTCCTCTCATTCTAGACTCAATATTCTTTCCAAAGTACCATGCTTTATAAAAAAGAGTCCCATTATAATCCCTATAAATGGGTTCCCCACCCCTGCTCTAGTGTGATTATAATAGAATTCAATTTCCTAAAAATGATTGACATACAATAAAGCCATTCTGTAGCATAAAATGAAATTCTCCTGTTATATTTTTAAAGGAAAAGAAAACTACATTTTAAATAGATCAGCCTCAAAATTAATTTCCTTAGATAACGACAATTATTCTAGATCAGCAGCAATCAGAGGAAAAATAGTATTTTACCATGGGTGACGAGTACTAAGTAATGAGGCCTAGGTGAAGGTTTCTCTTCATATCAATTCCCAGATGTGGGACTCTGCAGCACCATAGAACTCAAGGGGTGTATTTATTTGGTCATTGCAGCTTGGTTTGTAACATTCCCTTGTCTCTCTGAATCATTCTCTCCTTGCAACCCTATTATTTCATGTGCCTCGCCCAGGCCTGGGTGGATTGGCCCCATGACAAGACTGTCTCATTTGTGTCCCTCGGAGAACGGTATTCATTGAAAACTGCTGAGAAGTGGGAAATCAGCCTATTCCATTATCTAGTTAGCAGAACCAACTAGTATTGGCCCTCACTTCTCTCTGAGTCCTGCATTTTCAATGATCTGCTTGATATTTCCACCTGGCTGTCCAGCCGGCACCTCAAAGTCAGCATGCCTAACTCATCTTTTCCCCCAAACCATCTTTCTCCTAAAATTTTCCCTTTCTGTCAATAACACCCTAGTCTTCCAGGCCCAGAGTCACCTCCAGTAACTTCTTTTTCTCCTTCATCCCCTTCCAATCAACCTGTCACTAAATCCTGTCAATTCTTTCTTCATCACTTCTTCTGAATTTAACCCTTCCTAAAGAGCTACTCTTCAAATAGACAACAGGCCTGCGAGGATTCCTGAGGAATTCTGCCTAATAGTTGCTGGCATTTTTATAGCATTCTAAGGTTTGCAAAGCACTTTACAAATGAGAACTTATTTTATTCTCACAACAACCCTGAGAGGCAAGTGCTGTTATCATGCCCATTTTATAGATGAAGAAGAGGCAGAGAGAGGTTAAATGACTTACCCAGAGTCACAAAGCTAATGAATGTCTGAGGAAGGATTTGAGCTCAGGTTTTCTTGACACCAGGTCCAATGTTCTATCCGTTGTACCACCTAGGTAACCCCTAACATTTAAAAATGTAAACTCCTACATAGACTGTTGCAAAACATAGAGGAAGGCAGTAATTCCTCCTAGGAAGCGATGATATTAATCACGTTGTCAATCCTTAAATTAAACAAAAGCAGAGCTGAGAAAAAACATTATAGAATAATATCATAAGTGAATATAGACACAGAAATACCCAAATGGGATACAGCTGCATAAAATATTTATAAAATATAAATATATTTATAAAATATATTTATAAAATATTATAAAATATATAAAAATTACAAATGATAAGATTTATGAATAGAACTTAAGAGAGGGAGAGTACGAAGTATAACCCATGTGCTGCACTATTGCAAGCTATAGGTTTTCATGACCTGGGTTCAGTCTTGGGGGGCTTCTTGAAATTCTATCTCTTTGATTAGTTTTGCTCCCACCTAGTTTTCTCCGGAAACAACAGAATGTGCCATGTCTAGGTCTCCACAGATGTAGATAGAAAACTCCCAGTTCCTGTGCAAGCATTCAGAGTAACAGTGCATATCAGATATAAAACAGCCTTTATTTCATCCCACATAAAAGATGCAGAAAATACAAAGGACACACAGAAGCCTGCAAAAATTAAGACATTCTTTTTCCCTCCACTAAGTTCCACTTTTTGCCCCAGTGATTCTTTAGCCTGATGGCACTACCCCAAAGATTTAAACTCATCTCAGAAAGGAAATAAATTTGGAGTTGCTACAGAGGTAGCCCCATTCCCAATATACCTGTACTATCTGAATAACCCATAGTACTTTTAGAGATCAAAGTCTAGGTTTTGCTCTTCCACCTTATCCCTTGCTATTCCTTCAACTGCAAAGCCATATATGGAATCCTTGGTCCAGGAACTCTTGTTTTCCTCCAAAAGCTGAGGCTCAGAAGCTCCCACAATTAGCCATGTGGTTCCCCTTACCACCATTGTTATCTCTTGGATTAAAAGCCTTGGCCATTTTCTCTCTACAGCTGTCATTTCTGGGGCTTGGGGAACAGGGAGGGTCACAGAATCATAGAATTTCAAAATTGGAAGGGACTTCAGCCTCCTAATTCAACTCATACTCCCTCAAAAAAAACTCCCACTGTACTTCAACTCACCCAACAAATTCTCATCCAATCTTTTCTTGAAGATTTCCAGGGAAGAAGAATCAGTCAGTCAATCCACAAGCAAGCATTTATTAAGCACCTACTATGTGCCAGGGATCATCCCAAGTTCTGTAGATACAAATACACACACACACACACACACACACACACACAAACACACACACACTCAGAAACAATCCCTATTCTCAAGAAGCTAGGTGAGATAACATGTACACATATACATCTATCTATCTGTCTGTCTATCATCTATCTAGCTATCTTTCTATCATCTATATCTTTTTCCAGTTGCTTCCATGGATCCTCTGCCATTTTCCTTACCCCAACCTTAAATGTCCTTCTTTGTAACTTACTCACTGCTTCTGTCTCTTCCTTGTGGGGGCAAGAAGAATGAGACCATTTCTTCATCCATATGACAGCTCTTCAAATGCTAACTGAAGTGTTGACATTTGGGTCTTAGTGTATCCACTTCTCCTCTGTCATTCCTCCTTCCTTTTAAGTCCTTTCTAGTGTCCTTTGCTCCAGATTTCCCTCCCCTCACTGGCAAGCCTAAGATTTAG